GTTTTCTCTCACCTGTCCAGCTCCAGTTTCTCCCTTTGCAAAAACTCATAGTTTAACAAAGCCTTCTGTCTGTCTTAGGCCCTTCTTACTGCAGATAAGGATAGGTGCTATGATGGGGTGAGGAAAAACTGCTGGTCACCTTAAACAGAAGGTACCTGAGGAAGGTTACTCATTTGGAAGGTTTTGTACACAATTAAGTCAAAGCAGGGATAGCTACTGAAGAGTAATAGTGCTTCCTGCATGTTTCCAGCCTTCACCAATACAGCACTGTGCTGGTCCTTCATCTGCCTGCCAGCAGTTGCCAAGCAGCTCATCTATCAGATGCCTGCTTTATACAGTCATGCACTGGAGGTATAACAAAAGAGAAAAGCCCCCCTACCACCACAGTGCCAGAGAGAGCCTGGATTTCTCTAATGTTTTCCTTCCCTGCAGCAAATCTTATTGTTTGTAAGGGCATTGATTCCAACTTTTAATTTCCTGACTACAATGTAGGTTTGGGCCAGTTTTCATCATGTGAACAAATGCTGTGATTGGCATGAATGATGCATCTTATATTCTACTTTGTGGATGATTTTTGCATTGCTAAAGAGCATAAGAGCATCCCATGGCTGTCTGCATGACTAGTTCATCCCGTAATTAGTTGCTTAAGGGCTGAGGATCTGGTATATTGGCTATTTAAGACAATGCAAAAGCTTCCAATGGTTTCAGTGAGTATTGCGCTCAACTGAAACTGCTTTTCAACAGTCTTTGTTATTTTCCTTCAGCAAAAACGGTGTGATTTTTTAATATAGGGAGTAATCTGTGTTCTCTCACTGTAGCTCTGCCTGTTCACCCTGTTGCTTTGCCGACACTGTTTTCTCATTGATATTTAGTTTGCTCAAGTTTCCAGTAAATTCCTCCAGGACCTGCTGTTTGGGGCTATTTTTCAGTCTGCTCCCTCATTGCTTTCTCACCCAGCAAATCCAGCTGCTATGGTTTTTCCATTCAGTTATTCTGCCTCATGCTGTTTCCCAGGTTTTCTTTCCCTATCTCCCCCTTCCTTCCTCCTCCGTGCAGAACAGCTCAGGAGCCCTAACCACACGTGTGATCTGTGCTGTGCCTTTGCTCCTTCTCCTTTTCTGTTTTCTTCATGTTTTCCCCCTGATATCCTCCTGGGAAGGAAATAATAACCAGAGGGGGAGCCAGGAACAGAGGCAGTATGGCCACACTTGTAGAAATGGGAAAGCTGGGTGATAGTTTGACATACAGTATCTGAGCAGTCCTTACCTGTTTTGTTGCTTTGTGCTAAGCACAGGTGCCACTCTGTCTCTATTTGAAGATGGACAAAAGGGTTCACGCAGCAAAACCAGCCGGTTCTAGCTTGTGTAAATCAAAGCTGTACAGACCTCTGGATGGTGCAGGCTAAAGGAGGCAGTAGTGACAAGCTCCTGGGCTTTCCCACAGGGGTACAAAGAGGAATTTTGGGGCTCCTGTCCTGAAAACAACAGGTTGAAAACCAGACTTTAAGTTAAGATTTGTATTCACTTATTTACTTTAATGAGTTGTGTTTCTAAAATAGGTTTGGGGGGGGGGGGGGGGTTGTTGGTGTTGTTCTGAATATTCTTTTAATGGTAATATTATTACTTACTCTGGAAAGATATTATAGCTTTTTATGCACCTCAATATTTCGGGGAGATTTCTTATTTCAGGAAGAAACCAGTGAAGTGTTTAACTCTCAGTGGTATCTTTTGCAACCTGTTTTTAGTGGGAGAAGCAAAGCTAAACTCATTATAGTGCAAATCATCATAATAATATACAGCACCTTTGTTCACCCTTCTCTGGGGTAGACCTGCCAGCCAATGTTCCATAGACTTCTCTGGTGGGAAAAGGAGATGAGGAAAGTGCTGCCATTAGTCTTTGCTTGCACTTAGCTAGACCTGTTGACATTCATGGAGTGTAATGGCAGGAAAGCTTTCCAAAGCCATGTGACTCCAAACATTTGAGTTATCATCATTGTTGTATCTGGGTCTGACAGGGAAAATGGTTTGTCAGTCAAAATGTCTCATAAACACACGCATTAGGTTCAGTTTAATCAGAGGCAGTCCCTCACTTGGAATTCAGAAGGCTCACCCACAGGTGATGGGGGAATGAAATAGCAGGCAATTCACTCCTGCACTGCCATCCCGTTGGGAAGGGATCAGTATAAATACTAGTTGCTCTGGGAAAAGGAGACCCTCCCCAGGCTTTGGGAGCAGGTCTTTGTTTTGCCTTGATGCAGCCATCCAGGCATGGTCCGGGCTTATCCAGGACCTGAGGTTTGTGCCTCTGATAGGGCTGCCCTGAGATGGTTTGGTTTCAAGCCCACTGTGTGTCTTTACCATGAGGGTCAATAAGAAACCTGTTGGGAAGGGGCAAAAATGCAAGTAGCCCTTTCTCCTATACAACACTGGTCAGGGATGGGGCTGGCCCAGTGCCAGCTGACTATAAGCAGGATCTCATCTGCGGGTGCTTATGGGCCTGAGTAAATGTACTTGTGCTAATGGCCTTATTAAGCTCAAGCCTGTGCACTTTAGGAATCTACACAAAGAGAAATTAGAGCCCAGATTAGATTAGTCGCTGAAGGCTGTGAACGTACAGCTGTTTGCCAAATTGCACACTGAATTTCATTTTTGCGTAGACATTTACTGATAGCAATTTGAAGGCAGTCATTAGAACCCTCAGCCTTTGAATGAGAAATTTCAAGGGACACTTCAGTATAAATCTGCTCCTCCACTATAAGAAATTGTTGCTGATTTGCTTTGGGCTATGGAAACCAATTACATGAATTTTGCACAATAACCTGTTTCTCCCAAACAGGGGTAGCACTTCTGGCCATAAACAGACATACTTTTTACTTCCAATTAACTGTGTGGGTGTGTAAACATAAGGAAAGCTGCTTTTTCAACTTGAACTTAATAACCAGAGAACAGTGAGAAGAAAGAATCATCATTTACAGTCAGAATACAAGTTAGAATACTCTGGCTATCCTTATTCCCTTCCTCTGCAAGCCAGCTGGATTTGTGAAAACAGACACAGCCTTTCCCACCACCCTGTAAATATTGCAGGCTTTATCCCTTTCCAGCTCCTAGGCTCCAAGATTTGGGAAAGGCTGTGATACATTTTCAGAGCTAAACTGGACATAACTCACAATGCTCTAGTTTTGTTTAAAACTTCAGCTGTGTTTTTCTTCTATTCCAGATACACTCCAGAGCTGCCCTGTAATCCCTGAGCCCTGCTGAATTCACACCCTGGTGATAAATACACATTAAAGGGATGCAACTGGTAATTCTGCCTGGCTGTTAAACTGCCTTGTGTCACCCTGTTTCTAATGGCTGCTATCAATGTATGTGTTTGCCTCTTCCAAGCTATGGTGAAAGTGCTTTTATCTTATTATTAGTATAAAAATAAGTCATTGCTAATGCTTAAAGCAATTGTTATCTTCTCTTTCTGCAGGCCCATTGTACTATGTTAGTATTTCTGAATTGAAGCTTTGTACATAGGAGTCGGGCCTCCTGTGTCATCTGTTTGAAAACCCTGGGAGCATTCTCTTAAATAAAAACTGTACAGGGAAGGAACAGGGTCTTTTTATTTACCTTCAGATTTCATCCTTTAGGACTTTCTTGCTGGGTGTTCTCGGGTTGCTGCTGCAATTAGGAGACTTAATTGGTTTTAAATGAAAGCTGAGACTCCTGCGCTCCCCAGGAACTGGAGTTTTCATTAAAACCACCACCCAATATCATGAGACTCGCAATTAAATTCCTGAGCTGCCAACACAGTTGCAAAATGGTTTGTAAAGCCAGGGTGGAATGCGTACGTTGTGCGAGCAGGCTTTCAGGTGGTGTAAGTTGCTGCAACTGCTTCTGCTTTAGCTGAGCTCTAGATATCTACTGAGAGGCACAGCACTGCCCAAATCAGATTTAGCCAAGTCTTTAACCAAGCTGGGACCAAGACAGATACAGCCACAGTGTGTGTAATTGGATGTTACCTGTGTGAAGCAAAGGGCATGTAATTGCTGCATGAGGACTTTGTTAATGCTTGAGTGTAAAGGCCTGGTTGGGAAAGGGGAAAAATGGACCGTGAATGCTTCAGTTGCATCTTCTGGGACCCTTGAAAAGCTTTTCTTTCCAAGAAATAGTAGCATTGGGAGGACAAAAATAGTCATATATGCTGTGTCTTCACCCTCCAAAGTCAGCTGAGTAGAAAAGGAGGCATCATATCAACTTTTTGCTTGGCTTAGTTCAGTGATCTTAGTACAATGTGGAGAAGCTGTGCCTGCCAGGTTGGGATGTGGACTGATACCTAACTGGCAGGAAAGGGGTTTTGATTTGGTCAGAGGGGAGAGGTTTTCCTTTGTTGACTGCCCTTGCATCTCACACTGAGAAGAGCATCAGAGTTTTAAAGTTAACAGCCTAGCAGCAAAGTGCTGGTATGTTGATAATGTAGATGTATTAATCTGTGATCCAGGTGGCCAATACATCTCCTAGTAGTGATGTGCTACTGAGGGGTTGATGAACCCTTGATTAAATTAAAGGCTCAATCAGAAGTTCATTCGAAACTGTGACAATCAGAAGTGCAGTGTTCTGTGGTTGTCCCCATAGCCCTGGTTGAGAAGGTGCTTTCCTTTCCAGTCTAGTGAGCTCCCATCTCCCCATGAGCAGTGATCCCTGTGGCCTTGCCACACAGTGATTTCAGAAAGGCGGGTGCTTGTCCCCAGTGCAGTTGCTATTTTCCTCCTTTTAGGTGGTGGAGAGAGATTATTTTTTTGTTTCCAAATAAAAGCAATATTTGGAATAACTTGAGTTTTCATTTATAAACCCGTTTGGTGTGATTATGTAGCAGCAGGAACTGCTGGGACACATAAAGTGATTTATCTGACAGGTCCTATCTCTAGGTCTAGCTGGCCTAACCAGGCTTTCCTGGGAAGAGCCACCACTGGAATAGCAGCCAGGGTTTTTTTTCCCCTTTCTCTTTTTTCCAGCAGCAGTGCTACTTTCCTAACTTAAAAGCAAAACCTGTTCCTTTGCTGCACATCGTGCGAGTCTGCAGACACAGTGCAGGAAGATGGGCAGAGGCCAGGAGCGCTTTCATCTTAATGGGGCTCTGCGTGTGTGTGAACATCCCGGGGGGAGCCCTCTCAGGGAAGAGCTTCAGAGCCCGAGGCAGTGTGCAGTGCCGATAAGGAGATGAAACAATAGCTGCGACACCGAGAGCCTTCACACAATTACTTGGTGAGGATGTTACAGAGTCAAGTGCTTTGTGCCTTTGCTGCAGGAGCAAATCTGCTCACTCCTGAATGCTTAACTATTTCTCTTCCTTCACCATGTCATTTAATGCACAGCTTTTAAAGGCATCCAAATTTGTGAATGCTAAGGAAAAAGCACTAGTGTTTATTGTTACTTGGTTTATGTTTCCCTGCTTCCAGGGCCACTGTGAGACCTCTAAAACACAGCATTGGAGCCCAATGTGAAGATTTAGCAATGCACAAGCTGTGCCCTGGCAGAGATGGGAAACCTGAGATGTCCTTGCTTGAGATCCAGAAGTGGAGCCAAGGAACTGTTCCCAAACTTCTATTATTGCTGCCTCATTTCCTCATTAATGCCACAGAGATTGATGTGAAGGGACTTCCACGGTGCTAATGGAATCACCCACCCAAATCTCCCCTGTGCCAATGGCAGGGAACGCTCCAGTTCTCTGCCCTTACGTTAGTGCTGGGTGAGTAATTGAGTTATTTGTTAGCTAGCACAAGTAAAAATCCTTTCTCTTTAGGTCTGCTTCTTGGTGGCCGTGCTGAGGACTTTTCAGTACCTTTTACTTAGACCTGGGTTATAATTTGAAAGGCAAATTGAAAACGCTTTGATCATTTTCCCATTCCAGTGCCAGTGATGGTCAGTGGTTTCAGCCAATCATCAGCTCTCCATTTTTTTCCCATGCATAAATTGCTGTCCTGCAACATTTCACCTACCTCTATTTAATGCACAAAATCTGTCTAAAAGAGTGTCTTTGAAATTGATGTTTCCCATTAATTCTAATAGCATTTACATGCTTGCAGTGGTGAAGTCCACTGTTCCTTTGTATGACGTGCATCACTGGTTGAAGGCAAGGAAGACATTTGCTTCAGTGCATAGGAAATGAGCTGTGCTCTTCCCAGAGTGAAAGCTGAGGGGAACCCAGCAATCTCATCTTTTGGAGTCAGGCAGACACTGTATTTCTTGAGACTGTAGCAAAGACAGGGGATGAAAAGACACTCTGAAGAGGCTGTGAGTCTCAAAACGCACAGAGGCCGTGTAGTCAGAGGCTGTATGAGAGGGATGTGGGCCATTCTGGGGGTATCCTTCTTGCAGCTTGAGCAAGGTGCCATAGGCAGGGGTGAGTGATCAGCCCTGTGCTCCTTCCCTCCCTCAAGGGTAGTCACGGGTTACCCTTGTGGTAACTTGGGCAAGTTAAGCAAGAGTGGTAGGAGCTGTGATGCTCCTGCATGCCTGTGCCTGCTCCTGCCAGGACTTCCACATCGCTTCAAATCTGGTTGTGAATTTACCGAACATCCTTAACTACAGCCTCAGTACTGACAGTTAATTTCCTTAAATCCCTTCATATTCGATACCTGTGCCAGTGCACAGGACTGCACTGGTTGAGCTCAGGGAGGATGAAGGGACCAGCTCAATCACTTTTGCTGAGCAGAGCTGATTTCTGGTCTACTGAAAATAACTGTGAAGGAGTAAATCTGAAAGGAGCCACTCTTAAACCAAGATAGGAGGATATAGCTAGGGCTGGGTAGCCCGTCATGTGCAACCATTTTTACTGACCTTGTTCAAGTGTGTGCACAGATAGCTGGGAATGATTTATTTGTTGTAATAGGCTTGATTCTGTGAAGCTGTGAGTGTTGCCAGCAGAGGTGACCAGCTTGGCTGCTTCATGCAGTAGGAAGAGCGTTTGTAGCTACGGGAAGGAGAAATACAAGTTCAGGACATTGCAAATAAAAGACTCTGGAGAGTAAAGATAGAAAACTACCATGTGTTTGGGGAGAGGAAAGTAAGCAGGAAGCAGGAGCCTAAATTAGGCTGCAGCTCCCTGGGCAAAACACTCAGGTTATAAATATTCTGGTAGCATTTAGAGCAGGGCTGATTGTTCTTTGCTGTCCTTGACACTGTCGGTGTTATTCATGCTACTATTCTGCTTTGCTGACAAAAGCACCCGGGGTATCTCAGAGGTGTGGGAGGAGGCTCTGTGTGGGCTTGGCAGCAAGACTTCGAATATGCCAGTGAATGAGGGGGTTGCTCCCTGCTCTCCACCAGAGCCTGCAGCGCTGTGGGACCTGAGCGGTGGGTTGGGGTGAACCAGGGACGCTGGTTTTAAAGAGCATCTTCTCAAAGGAGCTAAAGCTTTACGCAAGATCACTGGCTTGCCTTGACCTTTGTGATCAAGGTGGCACAAGGGCTTGAAAAGTCATCATCACTCCTCCCCAGCCCCAAAGCTGACAGGGAAGGGAAAGTGAGGCATAAGAGGAAAATAGGGGATGCGGAGGCCCAGCTGGGTGGAATTGCTGGGAACAAAGCAACAAAACACTTCTCGTTGTCAGAATAAAGCACAGCAGATTTCGGTCTTCAAAATCCCACAGCAATTGCTCTACAGGAGGAACACAGTTATTGCTCCAAGGAGTCAGCCCCTGCAGCGAGCTCCACTTTTCCCTCCCTCTTTGTCATGGCCCTTTCCTCAGGAGGACCGAGGGGCAAGTGGGAGTCAGCAGCTCGCACGCTTTGTGATAAATGAGACCAGGCACTGGTCAGTGTTTTCAAGGCTGCAGTTTCTGGGGTCACTGGAAATTGCTGCATTGCTGAATGCAGTCAATCCATTTAACGGCACAGCACTGCTTCCAGAGCATCCCAGCCTTTCTGTGGCGTACAGAAATGAAAAGTGCAATCCAACCTCTGGTTCAAATGAAAGTGCTCTCTAATCTGGAATAGCTCTACCCTGGGAGGTGCCTTAAATACGATCGCAGGGCTGCTATGGTGGGGAGTATGCTTTTTTATTTGTAAGGAAAATAACTTTATTTCTCTCGTAAAAAAGTTTAGTGCAGAAAGTTAACTTAGGTAATGTCTTCAGAAGCTGAAAATTATCAGGAACTCAGACAAAAGGAAGCAGCGATTTCTTTTTTACGCCTCTTTTAAAACCCCTGGGAATTCATTTCCTGGTATCATTGTCATAACTCCAGACCTAAGGAATTCATTTGTATTCGTGTCAGTCCCACCTATGCTTCCTTAAGTGTTGCATGCAATTCAGACTAAATGGACAGTTAAACCAAAGATGGGACTGAGCAAATCAAACTGCAGACCATAGGTAGAGTCAGGAATATAGATAGCCTTTTGCAAGAGCTCCTCTGTGCCATCAGTTGTTCTTTGCAAGGCTGCAGTGTTTTTCTTGGATCATTTATACAAAGAGGACACTTTGATTTTTGCTCCTATACATGACATATTATGAGACCAGTCTTGATGTCCCCATGGTGTCAATTTAAGTTTTGCCTCTTCTTCTGGCTGATATATTTGCCCTGTAGGAAGGATAAATGGAACTAGGACATGATCTTTAAGGTCCTTTCCAACCCAAACCATTCTATGTTTCTATGCAGCACTGACTGTAGCCATGTAAACTTAAGGGCTCTTGCTCTGACCTTAAATGTTAACGGTTACCAGAGATGGAGCATGGCAGCTCAGCCAAGCCGGATGTTTCTCAGGTACCAGTCTCCTCTGGGTGGGAGACATTTTGCAGGCTTAGATTATGATCATTGCTGTGTCATTGATTATCATCTACTTCATGACAACCTCACCTGTGTATGTTCAGTCTGCAAGTTTGGTTCTTTTAGGGCAATATGAAGGAAAATGTGTTTTGAACCCTAAAATCATGTCAGCTTGTTTGTAAAAAGGAGAATGTGAATAAGTGAATGGTGTGTAGCTTCAGCATCTGGGGTTTGCTAGAGGATTTTACCTTCAGTAGATGAACACACTGAAGGAATGGAGCAGTGCCTTCTCCTGCCATAGATTTCCTCTGCATCACATTTAATAAGTTATCTTCCATTTTTATGGGTTTTTATGTTTACTCTTCACTGTGTTAATGCTGTTGAGCAAGGGTTGGGGAAGACAAGCCCAAATGGATACCTCAGTTGTCTCTGATTCTCTCCTAATCTCCACTGCTTTTGGGGCAGATGCATCCTTTTCCTGGCACATAATTTCCAGCTCCAAGGAAACCATTATCAGTTTTACTTAGAGTACACTTTGAAATGTATCATCTATTCATTATTATCTTATTTTGAAGGAAATGGGCCATTTATGATTTTCAAATCACAAGCTTTAATGATTTCTCTCTCCATGAGAATTCATTAGGCTTTATTTCATCATCTACCTAATGCACACTATGATCTTTCCAAACAGCAACTGCAGTTGCACAACAGGAAAAACAGACTCCGTGGACATGAGCAAAAACACCCTGGATAGCAGCCTAGACTGTTCAATTCTGCAACATCAGAAATCAGATACCAATAGTTTAGGTAAATTGAAGCTGAAAGAAAGCAAAATCACTTTGCAGACCCAGGATAAATGAAAAGCCAATCTGAATATCAAATTGACCCTGCTCCAGGGGAGAATAATTTGGCATGATGCACTTGCCAGGTCTGAATGTGTTGTTTACAGGCAAACATCAATCCTGCAGATCAAAGGGAAGGGATTTGAAAGGGCCAGTCAAATCTGGCTAATCAACAAATGGTTACCATGAAATGGTGGAGTTCAAGATCCTTAGGGCAGTGAGGAAAGCGCACAGCAAACTCACTACCGCAGATTACAAGAGACTTTGGCCTCTTTAGGGTTCTGCTTGGTAGCGTACCATGGGATAAAGCCCTGGATAGAAGAGGAGCCCAGGAAAGCTGGATAATATTCAAGGATCACCTTCTCTAAGCTCAGGAGCAATGCATCCCAACAAAGAGAAAGGTGAGAATGTGAGGGTGGTGAGGCACTGAAACAGTTTGCCCAGAAGGAAATAAGGCTCTTGATCCAAACGCAACCCTAAGATCATTTTGGAGCCAATGCACCCCTAAGGGAAAGCAGCACTGTAGGCTGAAAGGTTTTTCTGGTAGGAGTGTTCCTTTACGCAGAAATTATACAGCTATTGACATCAATTTTAACACAGCAGCTAAGGACAGCCTTAATGAACACAGAGCAAGTAGGAATGAGCATATGAGAAATGAAGGAAAAAATAGAAGGGCATATCCTGGCCTCAATGAAGTTACTGGAAATTTTGTCACGAATGTACAGAAAAAATAATTACTTTTTCCCTTTCCTCTCTTTTTTTAATAGTGGCCTCGTTAAAGTGCTTCTGTAGCCAAGCAGCCTTCCTCAGATGCTTGGAGTGACTTGGTTCATTGCGGAATCCACCACCGAGAGCCAGGAGTGGTTTCATTCATGAAGTCTCACTGCCGGGCATCATTAGTGAAGTAGGAGTTCTCTTTTCTCGTAATTACCCTGTGCAGACATTCCTGGTGCTGTTCAGCTTCAGTTCATGGTGCCTTCAAGCTAAGTGCAGCTTCATGAAAAACCAGCCTAAGATGTGCAAGGTAAGAAGGTACATGTGCAGAGCACAAATGTGAGTGCTAAATGAGAAGACGGGTTGGCAGGAGCTTGTACCTGTTAGTTACCATCGGGTCTCAGGGGAGCTTTGCCACCAAATTCCAT